GGGAGACCCTGTCTCAAAAAGACCAAAACCCCATCTATCTATCATCTATCTATCTATCTATCTATCTATCTATCTACCTATCTATCTATCTATCTATCTATCTATCTATCTATCTATCTATCCATCCATTAATCCATCCATCCATCCATCATCCATCTATCTACCTATCTATCTATCTATCTATCTATCTATCTATCTCTCTCTCTATCTATCTATCATCTATCTGTCTATCTGTCTGTCTGTCGTCTGTCTATTTTTATTTGATGTGTATGAGTGTTTTCCTGCATGTATGTAGGTGCACCATGTCATGTAATGCCCGTGGATACCAGAAGAGGGCATTATATCCCCTTGAACTGGAACTATAGATGGTTGTTAGCAGCCATGTGGGTGCTGGGAACCAAACCTGGGTCCTCTGAGAAAGCAGACAGTAGTGCTCTAGCCATCTAGAGCTGGTGAGTACTGAGCCATCTCACCAGCCCTCTTTTCTTCTTCTTTTTAAAACATTAGATCTCACTATATTGCCCAGGAACTTCCAAACTCAGGCAATCCTGCCTCAGCCCTCAGAGTAGCTAATGCTATAGTCACACCACACAGCACCAAGTCAAAAAGAATACTTCAGTATTTTTTAAGTTAATTTCATAAACATGTGGCTATGTGTTGGATGATTGTACATGGGTATGCTATGATAGCTACAATTTTCTGAGAAGTAGGGTACATAAAAATATACTGAAGCAAAAAGGATAATAAATACCATTTAATCTCTCCTAGGGGTTTAGAAAGCACTCCAGTCTGTTGCTGTGCCTTCCAGTCATCGTTAAGAAAAAGGCACTATAGTTTATGAGAGACGTAAAGGGAAGACGGAGACTGTGAGCGTTACAATCTGAAGAGCAGTACTGTGTTGGAAATACTGTTTGGCAGGCAGAGGGGATGCTTAGCATGGTATTTGTTTCTCCTACAGAGCCTACAGCATTATAGTAATTTTTTATTTTAAAAGGTGCTGAGAATAAAATGATGGCTATAACAGAATGCCTTGTGACTAAATAAATAATACTGCGCTGTAATTACATATCCCATCTGCTTCCCTGTCAGGGAGTCAGTCACCAGCAAGCTTGTGGTGAGATTCTAATTTCATGCTCTGTACAAAATAAACGATGAACCAAAGTTATTTAAAGAAAGAAGGAAAATAAGCAGAAGCATTCTGGCTACGCTTTGATTTTTAAGTCCAGTCAGTTGGAGAGACCACAGGCTTACAGAGACAGGGTCATGTCTCTATTAAGCAAGTAAGACTGTGAGGAACTGTGCTGTCCAAAATTACTTCAGAGATGCAAGTGTTCCAATATGGCACTCACAGGCCTCTTTCTTTCTCTTTCTCTTTCTTTCTTTCTTTCTTTCTTTATTTCTTTCTTTCTTTCTTTCTCTCTCTCTCTTTCTTTTCTTACTTCCTTCCTTCCTTTGATTTAAAAAATGTATATCAGTGTTTTGTATGCATTGTGTAAATATACCATGTGTGTGCAATGTCTGCAGAGGCCAAAAGAAGGCATCAGATCCCCTGGAACTGGAGTTTTGGGTAGCTGTTAGCTGCCATGTGGGTTCTGTGAACCAAGCCCAGGTCCTGTACAAGAGCAGCCAAGGCTCTTAACTGCTGAGGCATTTCTCCTATGCCCTTTCTTTTTGAGACAGGATCTTACTATGTAGTCCAGGATGGTCTTGAACTAATGAACCTCCCTCCTCAGCCCTCTGGGGACTGGAATCATTGGCACACACCACTGCACTCAGCTCACATGTGGCTCTGGGAAACTTGAAATATAATCTAGAGCTAGACCCAATTCCAAGCGCCTGAAACTATCTGATCTTTGTGGTTCTCAATGGGTATTCCTCTGAAGTGGGTATTGTGCCACACAGAGATCCAGAAATTTGCCTAACAGTAAGTGGGTAGTGGAGTGAGAACTCAAATTTGGGCAGTGTTGTCTCCATGGCTTATAGTCACCGAACTTTATTCTTCATAACTTTATACTTCATAACTCCTCATAGAGTACTTTCTGTTAGAAATCTTTGATGCAATCATTCCATAGGAAGATTGCCTACTATTAATGTACCACAAGCAATCTTTTAGCCTCATGGAAATGAACTGAGAAGGCAGAACATAGTTGTATTGATCATACAAAACATATCTTTCAGGACTGGAGAGATGGCTCAGAGATTAAGAGCAATAGCCGTCCTTGAAGACGACCTGGCTTTGGTTCCCAGCATCCACACAATGGCTAACAACCATCCATAACTCCAGTTCCAGGGGATCCAACACCCTCTTCTGGCCTGGCATGTATGTGGTGCACTTGCATACAAGCCAAACACTCATACACATGAAAAAAATGAATAAATCAAAAAATGTTTTAAATTTTATTTTTATGATTTTCATGCAACATAGTTTGATGGTATTTAGATCCCCTCCCCATCTACATATCTATCAACTGCCCTGTGAGATGCTTAGCCATAAGTAACACACCTTCAAGGCAACCTCTACACAGAGGATGAGTGAACCTCTCAACTTTCAACACAGAAGTTTCTTTACAGTAGATAGTGATTAACATAGAAACCCACAACTGGCCAGTGAGCCTAGAAGAAGACACCGCAGAATGCTTCTCCCTGAATAAGACACCTACTTCAAACCTCTGCCTCCCAAGGCTCAGAGATCATTGCCAAAGAGGAGGGGGAAATATTGTAAGAGCCAGAGGGGGTGGATGACCACAAGGAAACAGAATCTTCCAGACAGGTGGTCAATTATTCATAGGAACTCACAGCAATGGTAACAGCAAGCACAAGACCTGTGGAAGCTCAAACCAGACAGACCCTCAGCATAGAAGTGGGGAAATAGGAAGAAATCCCAACCTTAGTCGAGGAACAAGTTAGTAGCAACAGATGACTCCTGGGAGAGGAGAGTTGGTTTTCTTTAAGGGAGTGATGCTAGATAGATTGACCAAAGTTTAATTTCTTAAGCTATTTTATATATATATATCCCTCTTTCAAATTTCATTTTATTTTGCAATTAATAGAACAAACTTTAAATTTTTTTATTAGATGTATGTGTGGGGGTATATGTTGTGGTGTGTGTTGAGGTGGGTGGTGTTCAGAGACAACTTGTGGGACTCAGTTCTCTCCTCCCACCATGTGGGTCCTGAATAGTGGTTGACTTATGGGCGTCAGACTCAATAACAAGCACCTTTACCTGCTGAGCCATCTTACTGGCCCTAGAACAAACTTTTTATAGACTTTGAAGAGGTAGACCCTGAAATTAGCTCATTGGGATAGCATAGATTATAATGGGCTGTGTGAGATACTAGCATTCATAAGGTAGAAAAGGGATTCGATATCTTAAAATGGAGAAGCTCATTAACAGGAAGTCAGAGTGGGCAAAAGATGGAAGTCCCTAAAGAAAAACAACTAATGGGCAGCAGCCATTGGTGATTGTTGCCTCCGTCACTGGCTAACCCCATGCCTGTTGTGACTGAGACAGTAAGAGCTTCATATGTGGCTCCCAAAACAGCATTTCTTAAATCTTCCACTCGTCCTAGAGACTAGAGTGCAGAAAGCAGGACCAAGACGTTGTGATATTGTAGGACACATGTTAGACATGTCTATTGCTCCTTAGATTCTGATTCTATTTTTAATCATAATGTGTTTGTTGCTGAGTACAGTGTTAATAAATTCATATAAAGGTGCCAAAAACTCTATGTGGAGCGACGTAAGTTTTTGATAACTAACTAAATAAAAGGGTCTGCCACATTTTCAGGAGTGTTTTCAGGAGTGTGTCCAAAGGAAAGCAGCCAGAATAAAAACGAAGAAACCACAGCCTGAATCCCCAAGGACTGCCTCTGCAAAGGCCTCCTAGATCCAGGCACAGGCACTTCCACAGCTTTTGTGCATGACTCTATTAAAGCATCATATCTCAGTGGTTCTCTCTCTCTCTCTCTCTCTCTCTCTCTCTCTCTCTGTGTGTGTGTGTGTGTGTGTGTATGTGTGTGTGTCAGAGTTCTGGGGAATCTCATGATAACAGATATTATATACTAAGTAAGCTAAGTGTCAAGCACTGACAGCTTCATGTAATTTATTTGGGTTTAATAATACAACAATCCAAATGAGTTTGAGAGTACAGTTCCCGCACCAGAGATAAAGGAAACTGAAATCGCATCACCACATTTGGCAACTTGGCCAAAGTGCTGAGATAAGAGTTTTGGGTCTGGACCATGATGCTCCTTCTGGAGGGCAAGTTTCTGCAGGACTTTTGGGCTCCTGTAAACTCAAAAATTCCCTGAATTTGTGCATGATTTTCAATTCTATTTACATTCTGTCTGAAGACAATCACATTAAACATCTGTTTTGAAATAAAACTCTAAAGTCAGAATTGTCAAAGGTCATTTTCCACTTTTAGTGTCATCTTGCAGTAATTGATTAAAAAGGGGAGTAAAACCATGCATTTGGAAGAGAAAGGGGCTTTCTGTAAAGGGCAATGCATTACTTAGAATTTGGAAGGGAAGGAGCTGGTGATCCCAGGCAGCTTTCTGTACAACTGAACAATATGGGATGTCTCATGTCCAAGGCGATCACCAGACACCATATATACATGTGTAAGAGCTATAGCATAACTTTTCATTATTTCTCAAAAGCCAATTGGATAATTTACATTAACAAGGGGGGCTGATAAATATTAACATGAAGTATTTGAAAGAACACAATGTAACTATCCATTAACTAGATTGTAAACATGGTATGCACATACTGGAAACGCTAATAATTGCTGTCTAATTGTGCTAATTATATAATGACAATGTTGTAAATGTTTGTTTACATACTGTTAGATTTCTCTGACTAGTCTTATCATTAGTCAGACTTTGGACTTCTGCCACGTGCATTCATGTATATAGTGGTACATGCCAAACTGTTGGAACAATTTATTTTTAAAACTGGTGGTAAAAGTGCTGTTCGCATTCACATCAGAAACTCACCACATCCTTAAGAGGAGATTCAACTTCCTTCTTTATCTTTTTACCCATCCTGGAAAAAAGACACATACACAAAAAGGATTACAGTGCCATCTGCACATCATAAACTTGTACATTCTAAATCTTCCTGACAGTTATGTTCTTGAGGATGTTCATGTTTTCCTTTACATTTTTACCTACTTAAAGAAAATGCAGTGCCTGTAGAAATTACTGCACGTGCACAAATTGTTACAATCATACCTATTTCAAACTATAATTTTAAAGGAACTTATTGGTAAGACTGATGAGCACTGGTGTTGTTCAATTTAAAAAGAAGGTGAGAAATTAGTGGGGTAACTTCTATTTACACATCAAGGAAAAATGTAATATATTTACATTTCACTTATACTGGGTTTGAGATTAAATCCAAAATCACTCCTGAGGTCTAAGGATGTGCCACAAAGCAGGGATTCATGTCTACCTTCCTCCATGCATCTATGTCATGCACCCGCAAGTATTGAGTACATGGTAGGCATTCAATATTTATGAAAATCATTAGCTCTATTTTTCCTGGTAGTAATGATTTTGTAAAAAGAAGAGGAAATTACCAAAGTCTCAAGAGAAATCTTAGGATGTAGAAAATCCCAGGAGAGAGCCTACAGTGTCAGGATGAGTTCAAATTGCTTGTCAGAAGTCAAAAGCAGCTGCGAGCGTTAGAGGCACTGAGCAGAATTTATTGTAAGCATTAAAAAGCCACATGTTCACAGAAACTCAGAGCTCTGAAAGGCAGCTAGTGCAGGTGCCTGACTTCAAGTCTTTGAACTGTAATGCCTTCAAGGAATTGAAGGCTATCCTATAGTTGACCACCTTACACTTTATTCTATACTAAAATGCTAAAAGGAACCCATCTTCCCCCAGTAAATAAACTTTCATCATAAAAATGTTTGCTTTTGAAATGACTCAGCAATTAGGATGTATACTTGGAAATTCTTGCAGAATGATGAAATGGTTTTCAAATGCAATGGAAATTTAATATTAATAAAAACATTTAATATTAGTTTTCAGTTTTCTTTCCATATATTAGAGCCAGCATTTTTTTTCTAAATTTCAAATATCACTCACACATGCTTGAAAAGTAGAGAGGCCCTTGACCTTGAGCCTAGAATGCTGCAGAAAAATGCACAGAAATATTGGGACCCATGAGAATCTATAATACACTTACTCTATTGGGGAAAATTGTTTCATAATTCTTAATAACCAATTCTAAGATATAGTACATCTGCTTAATAAAAGAATTCCTTTTGAATAACATTCAGGAAACAAATTACAGCCACACAAAGTTGTTTTAAATCACCAGAGTCTCCCTCTTACTAATTTCTCCTCCTCAGGTCTTTTGAACAATTGTGTAATAAAGTGTGCAAAGGCTAAAATGACTAGAGCTACCGCATCTAGAGCTGGTGCTAGGCAATATTGTGAGGTTAGAAGCGGCTGCATTTTATTGCCATGCTGGGTATAATAGTTCTTGGGGCTGTGAGCATAAACCACTGGTATAGGCCGGGATCAATAAACCGCAGACACTAACTGTTTTCTTATAAAGGCCAGCCATCTCATTGTAGAGAATTTGGAAAACAAGGAATAGCACAATGAATAAAAGAAAAATCCCCCCAAAATAAACTCAGGCAGATCCATGTTATCTCAGGAAAGCTCCCTCTCTGTGTGCTTTCTATACCAATTTTCCCATCTTGCCTGGATTCTGCTCCCCACTCTCAATTTCCCTACCTGGAACCATTTTCCTACGAATTTTTTAAAGGATAAATTCCAGACACTTCCATCTCCGTTTATTCTCCATGCATCTCCAATGGATTGACACCATTTAAATGATGTGTTCAAATCCATTATTCGTCTAGTCTTTTATTTCAAATTTTCTGGAATTATGCACAAGACTGCAGTGAATGTCCTTGGACATAAAATTTTTTACTCTCATCCCTGCTTCTTTGAAACACATCTCCAGCTGTTCAGATAACCGGATGGATAGGTACCAAGATCAGGATACTGAATATGAAAATGAGTCTACCTTGATTTTGTATCTTGTAGAGCCACACTCTCTCTGTTATGAATTTGCTTATCATTTGTATACACACACACACACACAGACACACAGACACACACACAGACACACACACACACACACACACACACACACACCAAACCCACACACATTTTCAGTTTGCGAGCTTCAAATGTTTTTAAGGCAGAGACTGATTTTTGAGCACAGCAAGAAGGGCCCCACATCATGAGTCCCTCACAGCCAAATGACGGAATCTAGGTCTGCACGTCCTCCTTGGAGCCTCATTTTGCCTCCCGTTAAATGGGAGGTGGCTGTGATGGTCAGGAAGCCCACCCGAGCCACGGGTAGCACTGCGGTGCTGGCAGGGACCGCTAGCTAGTCAAGGGTCCCCCTTAGTGGTCCCGGTAGCCCCCATTCGCACGGTGCCTCCAGATTCCCCGTGCATCGCTCCGGCTTCTGACCCTGGGCCCGTCTAACCCTTGGGAACAGGTGTGCAGCCCCGGGCCTGCCTTTACCTGCCCGGAGGTCCCTGGGAGCAGCGGCTCCTAACTCGGTGCAAACTGCACTGGCCCCCAGCGCACCACCTGGGCCAGTTTGTTCCTGGTTGCTAGGCGACGCCGGGCTGCGCCTGCGCGCTTCTGCCCCCGAATTGGCTCCCGGCTGCAGGAGCCCTTTGTCCAGTGCCGCTGCCGCCTGAAGAGCTGTAAAGATTGATCCCGGTTCTTCAAAACCTCCTCCTCTCCCTCGCTTCCTTCTCTCCCGATAGTTCCAATGGCGCAAATAAAGAGGCTCCTGTCGCGTTCTTCCTCCCCAGTCCCCGAGCCCTCAACTGGCCCTATCTGTTCTCCCTCTTGTCCTTACTGTCACCCCGAGCCTGGCCTTCACGGGTGGCCTTGCAGCTGGTGCGTTTTCCTCCCACTTCTTCCTGAACACCACAGACAGATTGTTCTTCTGGCCTTGCCCCTCCACTGCTCAAATGCCAGCGGCTTCCAGACAAACTACCTGGAGTGCAAGGCTGGCTGCCCACCCCTCACCTGCAGCCCTAGTCCCATCACTCTCCACTTTCCCTCCCAATTTCCCCGTAGGTTTCTTCTCTGGATTGTTCCCTCTATTTCCTCGTTTCCGTTTCCACCTTCTATGTGCGAGATTGGATGCAACTTTTGAATTACTCTTTGGTGTCTATTTAACTAAGCCCGGCCCAAATGCTACCATCAGAAAATACTCTTTGGTTGCCTTTAGCATATAATCTCTCCTCCCCTCACTCCTGCAAGCTCCGCCTCCTACTGTCCTTATAGTTCCCCGGCTTTTTGGTCTTCTTGAGACAGGGTCCCCCTGTAATCCCAGCTGTCCTGTGACCACTATGTAAACCAGGCTGGCCTTGAACTCACAGAGATCCGTCTGCCTCTGCCTCCCCAGTGCTGGGATTAAAGACTTGTGCCACCACCACCGGCTCTTCTCACTATGTCAATCCAAACAGCCTGATACACATTTAACAACTCTTTCTATAGAAGTTTTTATGATCCACTTTTTATGCGATTTCTGTCTTTTGGTTGGTCTAATGCCCTCTTGTCTTCTCTTCCCCCTACCCACCCCCATGAGTATATAAATATAATCTGTTCTCCGTGCCTCATAAGAAAACAAAGCAAACCTTCAGGGGCTGGTGAGGTGGCTCAGCAGGTAAAGACACTTGCTGTGCAAGTCTGGCCACTTGAGTTCAATTCCTAGAACTGACATAAACAGGGAAGAACAGAGCCAACTTTACCAAGTTGTTCTGGCTTCCACATGACTGCATGATACACAAATGTGCACCTGCACGCACACAGAATAATAATTTTTTTAAAACACTCTCTTCAATCCTTGTTTCCCAGCTTTCCACGACTACAGCTAAATAGTAACTAACTTAGAAGGAAAATAGATTTATTTTCACTAACGGTTCTGGAGGCTCCATTCTTCCGGACTCTGGTGAGGGTAGCTCATTATAGAGGGTCCATGTGGAAGAGCAAAGAATAGGAAGGGTAGGAAGCCAAAGAGCCAGACAGGAAGAGGGCTACAATCACACCTCCAGTGACATTAGGTCTCCCACTAGAACCCACCTCCTTAAAGGTCCATGGGACCTTCTAATAGCATGTCATCTTGGGACCAAACCTTTAACACATGGGCCTCTGGGGAACATTCACCCAAACTGCAGCAATCTGTCTCTCCTGGATACCACTCCTACCTTTACATTCCTGTTCACTGCTTTCTAGAACACTATCCTGCACTAGGTATTTCCACACTGTTAACTTTCAGTTCAACTCCGATTTTGTCCCAGCACTAAAACTGCCCACATCTGTCAGATATCTCTTAGTTCCTGTCTTCTCTGAGGTTGTCATTCATACACTACTCTTGATGACAGCTCATTCTTGAAACTTCTTTCTTACTTTCTGTGCTACTGCTCACCCTTGATCTTTCTCCTGTTGTCATGACCATCATGTAAGGTGTTTTCTATGTACCCATAAATGTTGGTGGTTTTTAGTAATCTGCTCCTGCACTCTATGCGTTTTGGGGGCCATCTTACTTCATCTATGACTTCAGCCGTCGTCCCTCTACATAGCGTGCCATCCCACTTTGATACTGAACTCTAGGCTCACATATTCTTTCTCTTGCTGAGTAGCTCCACCTGATGTCCATCGGCACCTTAAACATCAACAGCGCCCACTTAAAGACATCATGTTCCCAGTACTAACATGCTTTTCTGTTTGTCAAGGGGCACCCGTGCCCACCTCAGTGCTCACACCTGAAGCTTGATCCTCATTCTCTTTTATGCTCAGCTTCTAATCTTAGATTTACCTTTCCACTCCTATAGCCCACATTCCTAGCATCACCATCCTTTCCCCGGATTCTTCTAGAAGCCCTTGCTACATCTCCTCCTCTAGCCTCGCCCTCCCTTCACTTGCTTGTTTTCAGGATGATCAAAGTCATCTTTGGAAGACGTGAGTCTAATTTGCCTCTCTCTTTGCTGGTTTCCACTCGCTGTACCACAGAACGAGATGCAACGAGATTCTTAAATTGCCATTCGAAGCCCTTTGTTTTCTGACTGCCTCCACTCTTTCTTTTTATGTCCCTCACTCCCCTGATCAGCCTGCAAACCCCCTATTCATTTTTCATGTCTATCTTGACTATGATTTCCTCTGGAAAGTTTTCATTAGCTCTTCTGGACTTCATGAAACATGCCTCACTTTACACTGTTGCTATTCCATTGTTTTCCTATGATACTGTAGGTCATTTATGTGTTTTCTCAGCTAACCCATTTCTAAATGTTCTTCAAACAACGGACATTTGGTGAGCATTTATTTTGAGCCAGGTAGTTACTGGAATGGGTAAAGTGAAATAGGTCCTCATGCTAACCTTATAAGGTAGGAATGAAGTAATTGGCATAAAGTCACTAATAAATGGCAAAGGCAGGACTTGAATTGAGATTGACCTTTTGTGGCCAGATTCTGGGCCAATACATCATGCCCACATGTTCTGAAAGCACAGCATAACAGGTCATAAAAAGATTTTTATGAAATAATTTAAACTGATGTTTTGATTCCTTTCATAGACTTGGTATTGACTAAGAATGACTTTTTTTCATTTGGGGTCACATCTATTTTTAAATATGCAGTTGGTGAGCTTTGGCGAGGGTTTGTGGTTGTGTGAGCAGCCAGTACCACAATGGAAACCAAACATTTCTTCCTCCCCAAATGTCCTTTGTGCTCCTTTGACATCAACCTCTCCACCACGCTACTCCCTGGGAGCAACTGCCTTGTTTTCTCTCCCTGTAATTTTGCCTTCTCCGTAAATGAAACCATATAGAATGCCGCCTTTTGTATCTTGGCCTCTTTAATGCACCACAGTGCTTTTAAGATGTGTGCCTGGTGCTGTGCCCATGAGCAGCTTATCTCTCTCTATTGCTGAGAAACACTGTTGTACCACATGGATGGGTGTTGACCAATCAGTGGTTAATAGACACATGGGCTCTTTCTGACTTGGGGCTGGTATAAATACATCTTCTCTGAGCATTTCTATATGGGTTTTGTGATATATATTTCTTCCTCCTTGGGAAAATACCCAGGAGTGGAATTTCATTTCTGAATTAAGACACGGATGTGTTTGCTTGTTACATTGTTTTCCCAAGAAATGGAAAATGTTACCCATATTTGCAAATAAGTGAGGGTTCCATTGTGTTGTGTGCTCTAGAGCATTTAATTTTGCCAGTCCTTCAAAACTTAGTCAGTCTATGGTGGGAAGTGGTACCTCCCTCTGTTTTTCATTTAGTTTACTTATTTTGTGGGGAGGGGGAATGTGTGCCATCTTGATGCGCATGTGAGGTCAAAGGACAATTTTCTGAAGTCAGTCTTTTCTCTCCACAATGTGGGTTCCAGGGATCGAACTCTGATCATTAGGTTTGTACAACAAGTGCCTTTACCTGCTGAGCCACCTCACCGGCCCTCTCCCTCTGGTTTTAAATGTCTTTTCTCTCATGATGAATGATGATGATCTCCTATGTGTGTGTGCATTTCTGTATCATTTTAGTGATGTATCTATTCCCATATATTTTTTCCTACTTTTAAGGGGGTTGTCCTACTGAGTTGTAGGAATCCTCATATATTTTATGTGCAAGTTATTTATTAGCTATGTATTTTTGAAATATATCCTACCAGTGTATGCTCATATTCTTCATTCCTTTCTTAAAGTTTATTTATTTTTATTTTATATATATATATATGTGTTTTGCCTGCCTGTAGGTGTATGTAAGTGTGATATGTATGCAATGCCCATGGAAGTCAGAAGAGGTTGTCTGATTCCCTAGAACTGGAATTTCGAATGGTTGTTGGCCACCATGTAGTTTCTGGAAACCAGTCCTCTGCAAGAGTAGCCAGTGCTCTTAACTGCTGAGCCATCTCTTTTTAATTTCTTAAATGTATCTTTCAAAAGCCAGAAGCCTTAAAGTTGGATGGAGTCTTCGTTTATTCATTTTAAGTTACTTTTGTTGTTGATCTTTTTGTTTGGCTTTTGTCCTACCTGGCAGGTCCTTATGGATGTTGTGATGGGGTTTAAGCATCACAGTTAGCACTATATGTACATGTGCATTTCTGTATCTCTCCAGTGATGTATCTGTTGCCATATCATTTTTTCCTACATTTAAGTGGATTGTCTTACTGAGTTGTAAGAATCCTCACATATTCTGTATACAAGTCATTTATTAGATGTGCACAAATTATTAGAATGTCCAAATGTCTCAGAATCACATAAAGAAAAGCTTCTGCTTTGTGTATTGAATGACTTTGGCACCTTTCTCAAAAATAAATCCATCCTTTTAAGTAGCTCCGTTTCTGGGCTTTATTCTGTTCTTTCAATCAATATATCTACCCACTCACTAATAACTGCAGTGTCTTCATTAGCTTTCCAGTAAGTCTTGTAAGCTTGCTCCTTTTCAAATGGCTTTGATCACCCTATGTCTTTTTGTATTTCCTACACATTTTGAAAATAGCTTGTCAATTCCTATAAGAAGCCTGCTGAGATATTGATTAGGATTGCACGAAATCCATAGACAGATTTAGAAAGAACAGGTAGCTTAATAACATGGGCTTTTCCAATTCATAAACAGTGTCTCTCCATCGGAGTACTTTAAGGTTTGTCTGCATGTATAGGTCTCACATGCATATTCAAAGCTTACATTTGAGTATTTTGTGGGTGTTTTAATGCTAGAATAAAGAATGCTTTCTGAAATGTTCTAGTAGAAAGATATGTTGATCTTACATAACTTGATTTTGTTAAATTCACTCATTAGTGCCAATAACGTTTTGAGTTTTTTGGTAGATTCGTCAGAATGTTTTTGTGTGCAAATAAGCATTCTTATTTCATCTGCTCCAACCTAGATCTATTTATTCATTTGTTTATTCCTTTTTCTTCTGAATTTGTTAGCTGCAATTCCCAGATCTTTTTCTTAACTATCTGGTTACTATGAAATACAACTCATACAAGAAAGGTTTTGCCTTTGCACCACCAAAGACAGTGAGAGCTGGGTGTGGAGGCAAGTACCTTTCATCTCTCAGTACTCAGGAGGCAGAGGCAGGAGGATCTTTATAAGTTCAAGATCAGCCTGGTCTACATAGTAAGTGCCAAGCCAGCCCAGGCTACATGGTAAGACCCTGTCTCCAAAAAAAGAAAAAAAAATGAGACATACAAGGAAAATATAATAGATAATTTTCACAACTATCTTTACATTTATATTTCAATACTATTACATTTCAATACATGAAATCATGTACAACTGTTGTGCACCAAAATGTAGATCCTTCAAGTAACATGCAATTCCAACTCAAAAGATAATGAATGCCTTTTGGTTGTGTTTTCTTTTAAAATGTGAATATAAGAATGTGAGCTCCTAACGTCTTCAATATTGCTAAATCCATTGCAGCCACTAGTCTTTTTCAATATTCAAATTGTCCTATTTGGACTATGGGAGCCCTTTAAATTAGGTAAGTGTCCTCTAAAGTCATATTTTTTTAATAGTCTCCCTGCTTTCTATATATTTTCTGTCCCCAAACTGTATTCCAAGGAGTTCAGGCTGGTTATAATGGAAGAGGTCAAGGAGAAACCAGTCTGGACACAGGTGGCTCATGGCTATCGGCCCAGCTCTTGCTCCTCCTCCTTTGAAGCACCACTTGCCACACTGGAAACCAGAAGGTCAGTCATCCAAGCTGTGGATCCGAAGTGCTAGACAGCGTGGATGTGGTGGTTGAAGGAGCTCTCTGGTTTTCTGACCACTGGCTTCTACTAGAGATCTTAAACTCTAAGTTTGCTTTTTGTCTCAGAACTACCGAGTGTAATTAGAAGTAGCTTGCCTGCCCCAACCCCATGTCCTTTGTACTCCTTTATTCATCATTCTGTGCTCCGCTGGTAGCCAGGGGGTCTATTGAA